AGTTTCTGCATTGTATTCTTTGTATTCTGCTCTTATATTGTCATTTGTTCAACAAACACTTAGAACCCGATCAATGTGTTCATTGTCTGCCTTTAAGTGGTCCCTATAGGCCTCAAGGTCTTAACTCTTTAACAGAAAACCATGCTCTTAGGTCGCTGGTTGTGCTGGTGAGATGCGGGAAGAGGCAGCAGAACTTTGGCTCAATGACAACAGCCCGGGAAAGAAGTTTATTAGGCACTCAAGTGCAGTAAGAAACGGGTGAAACGATGAAATCTTTTAGAAAGTACTTATGAAAAATTTAGAAAGTCAGAAACAGAACCAGTTCCCTCTGGGTTTCCTTATCCTACTTATCCTAAATCAACTAATAATCCTAATGGCTTTAAGTGGATCTGTAAGTGCCCTGCTGTAAGTGTGACCTCACATACACATAAGAGTTTTAGGAAAGCCCAGTCCAGCAAGATGTTAGGAGATAGGTATATATGGCAGAGTGACCCAGTGTCAAGGGAAAGGAAAGAAAATGCTAGCAAAAGTGGGTGTAGATGGGAAATCAGACTTGATCAGTAACTACCAGGTACTGGCATTGTGATACATCTGTGGAAAAGTTCTCCCAAATCTTAAAACATATAGGCCCTGTATGTAGCATACAGACAAGGGCTGAGACTTTGTAGGCTAGGTCAGTTCAAAAGTAGCAAGAAACCATTCTGGAACAAGTGATGGGGCAAACAAAAATAACTGGCTATGTATACCAAGAAAAAGACACAATCTCTAAGCCTTAGCATTAAACCAAAGAATAATGATGTTCTTTTGAAAAAACTAGCAGTACATGTGACTGGCCCCTGATTTAAGACTTTTGTCTAGGTTGTTTTTTAAAAATAATCCCTAGATCATTTGTGAGAATGTAGTTGTCAAACTTTTGTGATAAGAGAACCTTGCCCGGTGATTGTGGTGCATACCTTTAATCCCAGCACTCGGGAAGCAGAGGCAGGTGGATCTCTTCAAGTTCCAAGACAGCCAAGGCTACACAGAGAAACCCTATCTCGAAAAACCAGAAAGAAAAAAGAAAAGAACCTCTATAAACATTTCTGAGTAGAGAAATGACAAGTACTTTGTAATCTGATATAAGAAGTATATGAAACATAAACAGTATATAAGACATAATAGAATAAGCTATCCAAAGAATTTAGACACTGTCGTGTATGTCTGTGTAAATATGCATATATACGTGTGTGTGTGTATGAATATTATCTATATATTGCTATATACAGTTGGTCTTGTGTATCTGGGAGTTTTGTTTTCATGAATTCAACCAACTGTGATGGAAACTTTTCTATACTGAACATTATTCCCTGAGCAGTAAAGCTATTTACAGTGCATTTACTATGTATGTATGATCAGTAACCCAGAGATGACCTAAAGCATAGTAGACCTGTCCAACATACATTGCATACTGTATACATTTCTGAGACAGGATAATTGTTTTGAGTCCTCAAGTTCAGGCCTACTACCAGTTGCATGGCAAGACTTCAGCATCCACAGATTTTGGAGAATGAGAAACAATTTTATTTCTTAAGAAAATAAATTTGGCTAGCCATGGTGGCCCACACTTTTAACCCAGAACTCAGGAGGAAGAGACAGGCAGATCTCTGAGTTCAAGACCAGCTGGTCTACAGAACTACTTCTAGGACAACCAGGGATACACAAAGAAACCCTGTCAAAGGGGGGGGGGAGAGAGAGAGAGAGAGAGAGAGAGAGAGAGAGAGAGAGAGAGAGAGAGAGAGAGAGAGAGAGAATATACATATTCATTGTCATTCATTTGCTGTTGTATATAAGGAAGAAATTTTTCCCCAATTTTGAATTATAGAGAAGAAAAGAGGTTAATAAGTAGATGCTTAATATTTCAACTAAAAGAAGGAAAAATCAGCATTAAATTAGATATGGAAATCAATCTGTCACTAATTGTTCTGTACTTTGGGATTTATTAAAATTACCTTGAGGGTGCCTGAGAAAAGCCAAACATAGTTGAGTATTACAATGTTGCCTCTACAGTAGGACACAAACCCAGCACTTTGTATGTGTTGAGAATGGATTCTCACTACATTCCTCAGGCCAGTCCTGAACTTGAGAGCTCCAGTGGCTCTGCCTTAGCCTCCTAGATTGCTGGAACTATAGGTGCGTGACACCATCATGATCCCCATACTGTATAGCTTCTCCTTTTCTTCACCTCTCAGCAGACTACAGATAAACTCAGGTCCAACTGGAAAGGACCACTTGCAGGTCCAACCTATGTAGTTGTTGGATTAAGGCCTCCCCTGTGTGCCCATCAATTGAACTTTTTACAACATGGCAGCTAATTTCATCAGAGTGTGTAAAAACGAGACAAGAGAAAGGAGGCGTTCTGAAGTCCTTCTCTCTTAGAATCTAATCATCAGAGGGATAAGCCCATTAATTTTGTCATGCTCTCTTCATGAGAAGCAAGTACGTGATACATGATTTACAAGGTGGTAAATACAGGGTAGGGGTGTCATGGGCAGCCAGCCCTGTCTAAAGTGACCTAACACAGTACCCTAATCCAGAAAGTCAGACCTGAGACCAGAGTTAGACTGTTCAGTCTGCTTAGAGTGACCTCTAATCTAACCTGCTAGTGCAGTTCAGATAGGAGCCAATCAAGATGGCTGGTCCTTTCCTTTCTTGGGCATGCGTGCATCTGTGTTATTAGTATTGAGCACTCAGTGCAGCATATACAAAAATGAGAATGGGGTTAATGCATGTATGACATGACAGAATTGGATAAAAAGATGAGTTGTGATTTCTGTGTATATTAGTAAAATTTAAAGTAAAGGCATACTTAACAAGCCTGCTCCCCTCAACAATGATCTACTGAACTGTTGTCAGAAACATGGAGTGGGGGCGGAGTTCTGTGTAAAGAGTGCTGTCTTCAGCTTCTCTTGACACTGTGTTTATAAGTTAGTCTTTTACATGACTTTAATGGATTGCTTTCCTACCTAAAAAGACTCCAGTACCTTCTCTTAAAAAATAGACCCTGAATTACCAAACACAAAAACAGCAGATACCTCCCATAATCATGCTCACAATGTTCCCTTTAAGTTCAGACCCTGACTCCAACTGTTGGCTGATTTAAGACTATTTACTCTCCAGCAGTGACCCATGTTGACAAAGACTGCTACAGAGTCCTAGCTGTTGTAAGGAAAGCTCAGTGCTGCTTCAGGTGATAAAAGTGCCAGGTATCAGGTAATGGATAAGGGAGCCCATAGGAAAAGTAGCTGTAGGTCTAGTCTTGTGAGAAAGGAGCCAGTCGCAGAGGAGCCATGTAAACACACTCACCACCATGTGATGTGCTTGGGGCTGCACTCTGCACTTCTAGCCACTCCCATGATACCCTCCCTGCCAGCTCCCCCCTGAAGTCAAGGGATCTGGCTCCCTGCAGCCCAAGGGAGAAGTCGTTGTTTTTCCTGGAGGGCAGTGCTGGGAGGTTCAAGTACTAGAACCTGGTGGTGGGAAACATAAAGGAGGAACAAAGGATGGGTGTTAGTGTGGCTGCAGCAGACGCTGCATCCATTGTGTCACTTGTCCCCCTAACAGAAAACCCTGGATGTCCCCCTTTTACAAATGAGTGCAGCTCAGAGGTGAGTGATGCCCTTGGGTTGAAATCCAGGCTTGTCTGGATGTCACTCCCTGCTTCCCATCCTATCAGTAACATTTCCTCGCAGCAGCGGTTTCCGGGCTTCCTGAAGTAGAGAATCCTCCACCATGCACTGTCTGTAGCATTGTCCAAGGTGCTTCCTGACCACTCCCTCTCCATGATAAGCAGGCCAGACGTCTTTCCAGAGCATGTAAGAGTGCACTTGGCCCAGATGTTTTCATGAGACTTAAAAGTGGAAGGGGTCAAGGTCTGGAGTAGCAATGTGTTATCCCTCTAAAATGTGAAAGACAGGGGTGATGAGAAGTGGGTTTCCAGCATTGGGAAACCTAGCACTGGAAGGCAGAATACAGCAAAACCCTTGAGTTTTAACCCTAGTATAGGGGAACCATTAGAGTACAGATGAGGACGGGGGTGTGAGAGAGTGAAACCCTCTGCTGTTCTGTGTTTTGGGGGAGAGTAGAGCCTAAAGCATGCATTCAGTTCACAAGAAGGACTTTGACCCAGATTGTACAGTCAGTCTCACACAGATTAGTCTTCCAGACTGTTTCTCATACTCTTTGGAACAAGAGTGTGTGTTCATCAAAGAGATGGTTTTTGATGGTGGTATTAATGGTCACATTTATCTTTTATGAACAGGAAAGAGAATGTGAGATGTTAAGTAGAAATGCCTGGTCGGGCAAAGCATAATCTACAATGTGCAAGGGCCTGGGTTCATCCCCAGCGCTGAGGGAAGGAGACAACAAAACAGGGATGTTGTTCAAGTGGAAATGTTCTGTGTCAGAGTGTGTGTTAGGGACTAGAGAGAGAGCTCAGTGGTTAAGAGTACCTGCTGCTATTGCAAAGGACCTAGGTTTGGTTCCCAGCCTCCACACAGCAGTTCATAATTGCCTGTAACTCCAGTTTCAGGGGATCTGGCTCCCTCTTCTGGTCTTGTTGGTGTCGCATGATGCACATACACATGAAAAATAAAGGTGAAGTTGTTTGGTTTTGGTTGTGTTTATCTTGTTTTTTAACACAGGGTTTCTCTGTGTAGCCCTGGTTATCCTGGAACTTGCTTTGTAGACCAGGCTGGCCTCAAACTCAGAGGATTCACTTGCCTCTGCCTCCCAAGTGCTGGAATTAAAGGTGTGCGCCACCAACGCCCGGCAGCACACCTCCTTTTTTGATGAATAAAATTGACAGTCTTTTCCTGGATTGTCTGGGAAAAAAGGGAGAAGACTCAAGTTATTAGAATCAGAAAGAGACAGTAATAAACTGACAACTTAAGTGGTCATATTGTTAGAAATATCTGTTAATTGACGACGTTCACGTAGTGATTGACATTGTGATGTGTTTGCAGGCTGCTGCCCTCTCCTCTCAAGGATGCAGTGGAAGTGTCAACCTGGAGAAGATGCTACACGATGCAGGAGGTGAACTCTGCCCTGAGTAAAATCCAGCTGGTGGGATATTCCCAAAAAATTGTGAGTTTTCATGAGTGCCACCTCTGTGTCCACTCCCAGGGGGACTTCTGTAGCTCTCTTTTTCAAGCTGTCCTATCACCTTCGTGCTAGTTCCAAGAAGAAAGGATGTAGGTGGATCTTCTCCACCCCTCCTTGCTTTTTAGTGGTGCTAACCAATCCATCATCCTGTTCCCAGACACAGCTTTACCCATCTAGACACAGGCAATAGGAGACAAACAGTTCGCCAAGAGCTGTAACGTAAGAGCTGACCTAAATGTAAGGAGTCCTGCTCTGTTGTTGACCTGCAGCTGGAACCACTCAGAACTGGAACCTACCCTACAGTGGAAAAGGAAAAGTAGTCTTTGACTCTTGGCCGTGTTGGGTAACTTGTTACCCTTGCTCTTTGATGTCAGGCTCTGTGTACATAGTGACAAGACAGGAGCAGAAGACTAAGGTGGCGGAGACTCCAGGATGCTTCCGTTGTCCACTGCACAGATTCTATTACTTCCTTTGTCTTCAGTTTGCTTTAAAATAAGGACATTTCTGTTGCTTTTTCCATTTAACTGACTTAGCTTGCTGACAGCATATTCTCTGGGTTGTGTTTTTGTTTTTAGGAGCTTTTTGGTGCTGTTCAGGTGACCCCTCTGAGCTCTGGCTATGCCCTAGGAAGCTCCAACTGGATTATCCAGTCCCATTATGAGAAAGTGTCTTACGTCTCTGGATCCTCCTTGCTTACCACGCACCCTCAGGTAAATTAACTTCTAATCAACAGCCTATACTTGCTTAATTCAAATCCAGAATGTCTCCAGTGTACTATGAACAGTTTTTAAACCTTCATCACCTGTTTCCTCGATACTATGGGAGAGTTAGACTGTTTCAGTGGTCCTTATATTCAGGATTGTGGTTTCCTTGGAAGGAATTCTGTTGTGCTCAAGGTCACCTCTAGGTTGATAAATCCTGGGCCTTCCAAGACCCTGCCTGGCCTGGTGTAGGCCACAGAGATTGTTGATTCTCTGAACACTCACTTAAGGCTGAATACTTACTGAAGTCCGATAGCAGGCTGATCTCAGTGTCAGGATTGAGTGACCACCAGGCAAGGTCTCTGCTTGTAAGTCTTGTCTTCAGTTGGCAGTGACTAGGACAAATATGAGTAAAGAAATGAGCCGTGTGATTTCAGACTGGGGTAGGAGTCCTGCGGACAGCACAGCGGGTTTGTTTCTAGAGAGATGTAGATGGTCCAGACTGGGTGATCCATCTGAAACCAGGACTGAAGAGCCGTGTGAAGCTGTGGGGCAAAGCCTACAGAGTTGGCTGAGTCCCTGGAGCAGAGCAGGCAGGGCGTGTGAAGAACAGAGAAAGCCTGTGTGATGACTATAGTGCACTACACAGCCAGGAAAGGAGCAAGGCCACGTCACACAGGCCTTTGTAGACCATGATGAGTACTGGTTGCTTTGTTTTGTGGTATGTATACTTGTAGTGTGGGTATGTGCATGTGTGTATACATGCATGAGGAAAAAGAGCAAGGCTAGGCATCTTTCCTCAATCCATCTCTACCGTGATTCTGTGAGACAGGGTCTCTCACTGAATTTGAAGCTCACTGATGGGGGATGTCCTTCTGTATATATGTCTCGCTTATTATTGGTTGATGAATAAAACACGGACTAGCCAGTAGCCAGGCAGGAAGCATAGGCGGGGCTACCAGATGAGGAGAAATTGGGGAGAGGAGTCAGAGAGAAGTCGCCAGGGAGAGACATCATGTAGTCGCTAAAGGAATAATGTGCTGGAACCTTCTCCAGTAAGATAAGACCACATGAAAATACTTAGATTAATAGAAATGGGTTAATACCTAGCCAATAAGAAGCCTGAGCCATTGACCAAATAGTTTATAAATTAATAGAAGCCTCTGTGTGTTCATTTGGGGCTAAACAGCTACAGGACCAGGCATAACAAAAACCTTCATCTATATCTCACCAATTCTGCTAGCCTGGTTAGCCAACGAGCATCATGGATCCACCTGTCTCCACACCCAACTCAGATAGGTTACAGGCATGTACCCTTAGAGTCAGCATTTTAAAGTGGGTGCTCGGGATCTGAACTCAAGTCCTCATGCTTATGCTGGGGGCACTTTACCTACTGAGCCACTTCCCAAGTCCCACCCTTTTGTACATTGTTTTGTTTGATTGGAATGGAGTCTTAGTTTGTAGCTCTGGCTGGCCTAAAACTTACCGTCTAGACCAGGCTGACCGATTGACCTGCCTCTGCCTCTGCCTGTATCTCTGCCTCCCAAGTGCTAGGCTTAAAGGCTTGCATCACCCACCACCCCTTCCCATTGTATTTTAATGTGAAGGGAAAGCTGTTGGCAGGTTTAAGTTAGTTGTGCATTACAGTTACATTTGGCAATAAGTTACATATAAACATTGTTATGAATATAGTATTTCATCCTTGGGCATTTGTGGAGAACTTACTGTTTATTTCTTTTGTGTTCAGAAAGGAAGAATAGTCAAGATTAGCTAATCACTTGCTGAACATATAGCTAACTTATAGGAGTCCCTGTCACATGTTATCTTTGGAATTGATTATTTATGAATGTAACCTTAAGATGTTATTATCTTCATAATAAAACGGAAGTTGAGTCTTAGACCAGGAGCCCGGGCCCTTCTGCTTCCTTTGTAGCTCTGCCCTTCCCCTGACAGCTGCTTTGGTCTATGCCGCAGCCGCCTCCTTCTGTCTCAAAGTTGCGTTCCCTGGGTACATAGAGAATCCTCATCCCCGTGCTCTGTTCCTTTGTAGGGTTAGTGCTTGCCAAACTGCCTACAGAAAGTCCTCATGTTTTAGAGATATTTGCTGTATTTGCGACAGATAAATACATGATTAAAGAATGCTATTTGTGTGTGTATACATACATATACACCTTACAGAATAGCTATCTCAAGCTAATTAGCTTACCCCATTTTCAAATAAAAAATAATTCTGTGTTTTGTCTGAAACACTGGGTACTGCTGCCAGTCTGCAGCATTTGTTTTCTGTTGGGGCAGGGACAGGCTCTCATGTAACCCAAACTGGCCTCAAACACGATGTATAACTAAGGATGACCTTGAACTCTGTCCTCCTGCCTCTACCTCCAAAGTGTTATTGTTATAGGTGTACCACCACCCCTGACTCATACCTTCTTGTACAACTAAGTTTTATCTCAAGGTCTAGAGGAGACAAGTTCCTTTGTTTTCCTGTAGCTAGCAGAATTTTGGGCTCTTCCCGCTTATTGAGATCAAAATCCCATCAATGTCATCATAATCTGCCTCATTGAATCAAATTTTTTTATTGGCAGCTTCTTTCATTCTTGATGTATTCTGCCCTAAAAGACAGGAGGATGACTTGGCTGCCAGCTGCTCTGATTTGTCCTGCTTAGATCAAAACCTTTACAGTACTATTGACGTAATTTCCAGTAAATTGTCCTTACAAGGGCCATAAATTTAAAGGGAAAATAAGGTCTTGGGAATGATGAGTAACATACCTAAATGATTGGTTTTAATTTCTAGTTGGCAACCTGTACTATATGTAACAAAGAAAAGAAATAGATTTTTCCTTTACCCATATTCTTGGTTTAGTATTGAGTAAGTGGGAATAAAGAAGTTTTAGTTGGGAAAAAAGTATGATGGTATACTGTAGAGATCAAGAAACTATACCCAGGGCTGTGTCTGGCCCACCACTTATTGGAGGAGGGAGGAATAAATAAATAAACAAACCTGGCTTTATTGGGTTACTGTTTGTGGATGGCTTATAGCTCAGTATATGCTATGACAGCTGGTTTAAAGTTAAAACTTCACAGAAAGTGTGCTGTCCTCTGGTATGCCTGATTGGAGCCCCTGCAAGCAGAGAAACACAGCACAGGATACTGCAGAGATCTGTAAATAACAAAGGTACCAGGCTTTGCCTAAAATGAAGTCAGCAAGGGTGAGAGGTAGCTTTAAGAAAACATAGGCTGAGCTGGGCGGTGGTGGTGCATGCCTTTAATCCCATAAACTGGGAGGCAGAGGCAGACATATCTCTGTGAGTTCAAGGCCAGCCTGTGCTGTGAGATGATCCTTCTGTACACTGAATACGTATTGGTTAATAATACTCATTGGTTAATAATAAAACTGTTTGGCCTTTAGCAAGGCAGGATGAAGTTAGGTGGGACAATCAGACTGAGTACTGGGATGAAGGGCAGTCAGGAGAGACTTGAGTGAGCTGCCCAAGAAGCAAGATACCAGAAGACCAATAAAGCCACAGGCCACATGACAATACGCGAATTAAAGAAACGAATTAATTTAAAAGTAGGAACTAGTGAACAATAAGCCTGAGCTATTGGCTAAGTATTTTGTAATTAATGTAAGCTTTTGTGTGTTTATTTGGGGCCTGGCCATCAAGACAGAAAACCTCTGCCTCCATTTACAAGCCTAATCTACAGAGCAAGTTCCAGGACAGTCTTGAAAAACCAAAAAAAGAAAAAAGAAAAGAAAACATAGGCAAGTCTTTAATTCAAGAAACCTTTATGCTAGGCCAACAAGATGGCTTACCAGGTGATAGGACCTAATGCCGAGTCTGATGACCTGAGTTCAGTAATGAGGACCCACGTGGAGAAAGGAGAGAATAGTCTCGCACAGGTTGTCCTCTCACTGTGCATAAATGCACACACACGCTCACAAAATAATCTCAAATTTAAATGTAGAGCATTTATTGGTGGCCGCTGTCTTCAGGGAAGGAAAAATGAAGTAAATTCTGTGTGCGAATGGCACTGAGAATAAGGATAGTGCATTTGACAAAGATTTCGAAAGGTGATCATCTGTCTCAGAAGTAGGTTGTACATAGTGATGGATGTGAACCAGGAGAATATTGGCTAGAAATACAAGGCCAGAACCTGGGCTGAAGGCAAGTCTAGAAACAAGTTAAAGAATCTTTATACTTTCTTTAATTAAAATAAATAAAGTGCTGAGGGCCAAAGACTGGCCTATAGGAAAATATTTACCAGTAGATCGTGCAAGGAAGAAAAGCAGTCTTGTGTAAATATGGCTGGAAAGAGAGGAAAATTGAGGCCATAGTAGAGAAGAGTATCCTGAGCAGAAAGGAAGGGCACAGATTCTCAGCGCTGAGTCTGCTGGCACTGCCCCTCAGCTACCATGCCCAGCTCTGACTCCAGTGCACCCTCTCATGGTTTTATCTGCAAAGACACGGCTGTTGTATCACTTGCTTCCCCTTAGATCTTCTCTTCCGACTGAAACCTCTAGTACCATATCATCACAAGTGATGACAGTGTTGAGTGCTTTTATAATCCCTTAGATGATGCTTTGCAGTCCCTTGGATGAATTGTGTTCATGATCCACACTGTTTTTAAGGAGTTTGTCCTCTTTTATTTTCTGATTTTTTTTAAAGACCTGGCCTCTTGTAGAATGCTTCCTCTGAGTGTGAGATAAGTGTGTGATCTGTGAACTATACACGAATATCTGTCCTCTGCCCTTTACTTCCTTCCTTTTATCTTAGGGTTACTTTGTTGCTCTACCCCATTTAACTCTCCTGTTGTTGTTTAACTGTTAGATTTTGGTATGCAGTGCTTGTGGCTCATCTTAAATAGGTTATAATGTCCTCCACAGTCTTCATTCCTTAAATAGCCCAGTGGTATTTTACTGCACTTTTGTTTTCAGTCCATTCTGTCTGGTTAGACTTGGGCTAGACAGGATTTTTTTTTAATTCTTGGTTTTGTCGATGTTAGCACAATTAATTGTACATGCTAATGTATTTCACAATGCTGTTTCCACACATGCATGCAGTGCATATTGATCATATCCAGCCATTATTCGTTCGTTCTCACCACCCGCACTTCCCAGTGCCTTCTAATCACTGTCCTCTTTTGGTTTGGGATAAGGGGTATGGAATATTTTTTTCCTTTCTGCACATGAAAGAGAGCATGCAGTACTTTGCTTTCTGTGTTTCTATAGCTGGTAATTTACTAATGTACTGTTCCCAGTTACATCCATTTTTCTGCGCATGACAAGATTTTTGTTGTTGTTCTAACTGAATGGGCTACATTGTGTGGATATCTGCCATATTCCCTTCATCAGTTCATGTCTTTGCTTTGTTCTCATGAAGTCTTGTTGTCCATGCTCTCATATATGTGAATTTGTCCTATAAATTCAAAGAAAGTATTTTAAATTTTGAAGCCCTTAAAACTGTTGTTCATATCTAAGATAGCCACTCGACTTGTTGGTTTGATTTTGTATTGTTGACAATTTTCTTCTGAATTTTCCCAAAAGTTTTGTTGCTGTTTGTTGGCTTGTTTTATTTTAATGCAGTACTTTGATGTGGATGCTCCATGGTGAAAGTTAAATGTCATATAGTTGGGACAAAGGCCACAAGAAAGCTGAGGTACAAACAGGCCCTGATTCTGTTGGTGCCTCTGGCTCACTTAATGGGCCCCAGGAAGCCAGGAGAGGATCACAGCAGGCTGGCCTCTGTGTGTCTTTCTCCATTTGCTGTCTCCATTGTTTGTCTCACTTGGTTGGACTCTCTCTCTCTGTCTCTCTCTCTGTCTCTGTCTCTGTCTCTCTCTGTCTCTGTCTCTGTCTCTCTCTCTCTCTCTCTCCTTCTCTCAAAATAATGTGTGCTGCTTAAGTACATGCCTGTGTGTGTTTGTGTATTAATTTCTCATGAGATAAAGCTATTTCTAAGCCCCTCCCTTTAGCAGAAGAGTGTCTGAAGAGGCCAGGGAAAACAAGATGGTACATTCCATTCCTTTACAGAAATTCTGTTAGGGAAGAGCTTGTCTCCACAGTGCAGTTGAACATTACTATAAGACCAGAAGTCCACTAGGGAGTCTAGGGCTTTCAGCTAGGAGGTTGGGGAGTTCATGAAAGAGTGGGGTTTGAATTGGTTATAGAGGGCAGAGTTGTACTTTGTGGTCTGAGATTTTTTTTGTTTTGTTTTTTGTTTTTTTTTTTCCTTTCCTAGGCAGTAAATCCTTAACTGTTTCATTCATTCCTTCTTTTCTGCCATCTGGAATTTTTAAGGTGTAAAAGGTCTTCAGATTTCTCTGAATCCTTGCTGACTGCTGTTTTTACTTTCTTTTAACCAGTCTGCCATTTCTCTTGTATATTTCAGTCATCTAGTCTTCTGCACCCTGGCTTCCTTTTGTTGTACCTCCTGGATCCTGTTTCACATCTAGCAGTGAAATCACTGCCTCACCATAGGAATGTGCTCCCATATTTCCCCTATCTTTGGCCTTCACTGTATTCTATAAGTATTACTGCCAAAAGCCATTCCCTGTTTCAGAGTGCTGACTTCTTATTGCCTGCCCTGTTCATAGGCATCATTCTGACCTGGTTAGCCCTTTCTCAGTTACACTCTTTTTACTACTGTCCTCTGCACATACACACACGTTCATGTGCACGTGTGTATATACAGCACCACACTTGCACACACATAAAAAGTTAAGTGGAAAGAGAAAAAGGCTATTGGGAGGGAAGAGGAAGGAAAAGGTAATGGAGAAGTGAATTTTATCAGTGTGTGTTGTGTGCTTATAAATTAAGGTTAATTGTTAGAGGACCAATACAGTAGTGAGCACAGTTCTTACTAGGCTTAGAGTTTGGGTTTTTTGTTTTGTTTTTAATGGATATAGATGTTTTGCCTGTGTGTATGTATGTCCATGCACCATCTGCATGCCTGGTACCTGCAGAGGTCAGAAGAAGGTATCAGATCCCCTAGAACTGGAGTTATGGATGATTTTGAGTCACTGTGTAGGTGATGGGAACTGAACTCTAGTCCTCTGCAAAAGCAGCCATACTCTTAACCCTGAACCATTTTTCCAGCCCCCAACTCTAATCTTAGAGTTTTTACTGTTTTATCCCATCTGTTTATAACCATCAGTTTTGTAAGGTACTTTTGATTCTTGAACAAGTTAAGTTTCCCTTTTTGTACCCAACAAAAGACTTCCCCCTTAATCACACATCAAGTAGCTATTGATACCAGTAATATATTTATTTATCTTTGGTGAAGTACAGACATTTGAAGTGTCACCTGGGTGTGGAGAAAGTCACTGAAGTCTTTTAAGCCTGTATCTATCCTGGAGCCCTGGGAATCAGTAAGGCTGTCTCTGCATACGACTAAAATTACAAACATCTGTAAACCTGAACACCAAGTATCTTGTAATGGTTCCAGCTCAAGCTGCTCACACTAGACACCGCCCTGCATTTGTTTGTGAGTTTTTAGTTTTCAAAAGACGATGTGGATGACTGAGGTTCAGAGGTAGTATCAGAGTAGTTCACCTCCATTATGTCTTCTGCTTCAGTTGTTCTTAAACTTTTGGGGTCATGGCCCTTTCTGACTACCTAGTTAAATATGCAGAGGCACACAGAATCAAATACACCATTTCAGGAGACCTGGGGGACCTCTAGGTCCTCCTCCATCTCAGTCACTTTAGTTGCTATCTTAAACCAAATATGTCACTGTGCTGCTGGATTCCCTGGGTCACCATTTCAGTTTCCTTCTGGTATACACAGGAAACAAACAGTCCAAGGCTCATACTGCTAAAACCCATTGTGCCTTCCACCAATGCACACTTACTTCCTCTTGTGAACCTGAGAAGTTCTGCCCAAGAAGTGAAAAGGCTGTTAGATGCATTAGTAAATATCTGTGGAGAGGAACCAAGCCATTCATGTACTGCATAATCAACACTGAGCTCTTTCTGCTCAGTTAAAGAAGTTTCTTCAGATTGTGAGCAGTTTGAAATAGGACCATCCCTTGTTATTTAATAAAAGAATGAAGCCCATGTCTCTATACTTTGATACTCAAAGGTGAATCTCTCAAGAGGTATGCGGACACTCGGGGTTGACAATCTAGATTTGAGGCTTTACTGGGCTGTTCTATTTGGATGTTCTCTTTACTGGGGAGTAGACCAGTGGCCCCAAAAGGAGGAATGAGATGTTTACATAAAGTGTGTGGTCTGGTGCTTTTTCGGGACAGTCAGTTACAAGATGAAAACATTTGTAGACTCTCCAGCTTCTCAGTTCTTGTACCTTTGTTTCCAGTCAAATCCTAATTTATGCAGAAAAGCAGAATCTTTTAAGTGCTCTGAAAATAATTACAGTTTAAATCATTCTAGGTAAAAATAAATGCCAGCATCATAAAGAACTCATTGTCATGTGCCAGTGGGGTTCACAGTTCACACACAGATAGCGTTATGCGAGCCTCCGACACTTACAAGAGTCGACTGAAGGAAGTAGTCAGGACTGGCCATTTCATAGGAACCTGCCTCAAAGCTTGCTCAGGGTCATAGAGCTAACTGAGGAGTTGGGAATAGGCATGTTTCTAATCCAGTGTTCCTTCTGGTTCCTCCAACCCTTGCTACATAGGAAAATCACCTTGCCTCTGTCTTCCCATAACATGTGATTATCTCCTAAAAATGCAGTTATTCAGTTCAAATGTGATTCCCGGGCAAGCAGGACGAGCATTCTCTAGAAACTTGCTGGAAATGCAGATTCTCAGGCCCTACCCTGAAACAAATCAGAAACTATGGGAATGAGCACAGCAGCCCTTGTCTAGCACACCCTCTGGGTGACCCTGACCCATGCTGAAGTTTAAAAACATGTAGAATGCATGTGCATGGCATTCTGAGAGGGGAGCACTGGAAATAGGAAGCCTTTCCTATGACTGGCAGGGAAACTTCTGTGAGGTTGTATATGGTGTGAGGCCAGCCAGTCATGATAGAATTGTCCCTCACTCCAGAGTTGCTGAGCCACTGCTGTGAGAGAACTTACTGCTGGACTAGACCCAGTGAGGGAAGCATTTGCTCTTGTCCCATTGCTGCTTAGAGGTACTAGTCCTTTGTAAACTGTTAATTAGAGCTTTCTTTTGTCTTTCAGCCCATGGACCAAGCTTCTCTCAAAAACAGTGATGTTCTGGTTCTCACAGGGCTCACACAGATCCCCACTGCCAACCCCGACGGCATGGTGGGCGAGTTCTGCAGCAACCTTGGTAAGGGCCTTCTCAAGGTTGAACTTGGGTTCTACATCCTAGGTTTATTTCTTGCTTGAATTCTCACTGCTTGCCTCCAGTCCTGCCCTCTGCTGTCTCTCTGAAGCATCCCTGCTCTCATTGATTTCCACCCCTTAGGTTCCACCTCAGAATGTACTGAAGGTGTGCTAAGAGTTGTACAGCCATAGACCAGAATTGTTAGCAGTTTCTAGAAATGTGGTCAGCATTCTTTCATGGACCATGTTGGTTAACCCCTTGCTATGGTGGGTATGGCAGGAGAAGCGTGTTTGCAGGTAACAGCAGAAGAGTCACCCTGTAAATACTAGCACAGAAATAACTCACACTTGAAATCCACACCAGTGAAAAGATGGGTGCATGGAATCATTCTCACTAACACTTGGTTGCTTTTATTTTTTTCTTCCTTGGGGAAAAGAATGAATTGAGAGCCTTCGGGATGGATGTTTTCTGCTTGGAAAACATTTATTTTCCTTTAGGTAAAATTGTCAGTGAAATTTTGCAGATGCCATCCTTATTTTAGAAAAGTTAGCTGGCTCCTGTCTTTGTACGTGCAGACTACAGTGACAGAGTCTCATCATTGGTGTATAAACTGACGACATGACCACCTCACAGTATGGTCAAGGGAGTGGCTTTTATTGTGGGCATGAAAGAAAGGACAGCAAGAGGCAGGCATCTGGGAGAGTCCACAGGAGAGAGAAAGAAGAAGAGTGAACTTGGCCAGCAGACTGGTTATGGCCGGAGCTATCTGGAGGACAGAGACATAGTGAGAGAAGCAGGAGCAGAAAGGAAGAGGAGACAAGGGAAGCCATGAGCGGAGGGGGTTTAAGGGAGAGGAGGAGGTGAGAAGGGCTAGGATGCTAGCTAGCGTGGACTTTGAAATGTCTAACAGGTGCCTGTGATGCTGGGGCAGTGTAGAGGCCAGCATGGGCTTTAATATGCTAACGGGCTAATATGTCACTTCTGCCACCAGTAAAGGAAATGACTCCATTTGGTAGATGGGAACCGGTTTTACAACCACCAGAAATCCTCCTATTGTCCAGGTTGAGCTCATTTCTGGATATTTGGACTGCTTTTTAGAGTTTGGGGACTTGGGATTTCCTTTGGACCTAACAGTTGTGTGACTGAGGCAGTGAGCGTTTGTCTCACAGTCCTGAGACTGGGAACTCTGAGACCCAGATGGCCACACTTTTCTTGGATTCTTACATGGAACAAAGAAAGCTTGTCTCTGTTCCTCTTCTTACAGAGGCACTGCTCTCATCATGGGGTCTCTGCCTCCATGAGCTCATCTAAATGTAATTACCTCCCTCTTCAAGTCCCCACTGAACATCATCATATTGGCTGTCTGGCTGCCACATATAAACTGGTGGGGCAAGAGGCACAAAACATTAAGTCTGAGCTAGCTACCCAAGAGGGGTTGAGGGGCTGACCTTCATCTCCCACAACTAAGTGGTGTTACTCTGGCTCCAGGAAAAAGTGGCCATCTGCATGGAAGGCACTGACCTTTGAAATCTCCTGAGCCTTGCTACTAATACTCTGTTTTTATTCTTTGCTGTGTAAAGCCAAAGGTAATTTATTCTTGCTGTGGAAAAGTTGTTGGACTGGTCTCAGAGAGCTTTTGAGTTTTGTGTATTTGTTAATAATCTAGAACCACTGACTCAAGGAACTTTAGGTTTGGGGAAAATCCAGCATCTAATGCACTGTGTCAGATGGGAGTCCACTAACCACTCTCCTCAAGATCATCTAATACCAATGCAGACCTGAAGGTCCTGTCACAGATCCACTAGGCTGGGGATTGGAGGACCTGGGAGAAAAGTTGCATATTCAGCGTCTCCCCTAGATGATTTTTATACAAACCAAAGCTTGAAAAGCACTGGCCTCGCTCATTCTCCTCACATAACTAATAAGGAACTGAGGCCAAGCCTGGTTGAAGTGGTAACCATGTGACCCTTAGTTGTATCTTTGGGCAGAAGCAGACTATGTCCAGTCTCTCTGAAGGGTCTCCTTTATCCCATGCTCTAATGGCAGCAATTCATAGCCTCTGGGGGAACTGTCTCACAACAGGAATGGACAGGGCTCATGCATGGCATGCACCAGACTTCAGATCCAACACCCACAGCCACCTGCTTCCATTGTTTTATAAACGAAGCAGAAGCAGACTTGACTTTGCAGGTTTTCAGCCACTCATACTTATTTATTACACCCATAACACATTACAATCCACAAGGTGGGATTAATTCTACATCCATAACTTGTTTTAAGTGTTTAAGAGATAGCTTCTTACAGACAAATACTAGTGATAGACAGTGCATTAAATGGAAAAACAGTTTATTTCCTTCTGGATTACTTAGCCATGGTGAGCAGAGACATCCTGCAAACTTTAAACAGGATTTAAAGAGAAAAGGCTGGCTGAAGCTCGGGTTCGATGGAGTCATAAAAGCCCACCCTGTTCAGCCCTGGTGTATGCCCCTCTGCAAAAGAAATAGATGGTTGTGAAAGTGTTGGGTCATAAAATCAGGCTGTGGGGGGAAGGTTGAAAGACAGACAGACAGACAGCACGAGAATAGCAGAGTTATAAGGAGAATCAGCTGTGCTGTGTGGAGGGAAGGGAGACCTGTGACTAGAGGAAGTTTAGAGTAGATAGGAGGTGGGAAGGGCTGGGATGCTACTAGCATGGACTTTGAAATATGTAATAGGTACTGGTAATACTGAAGGAGCCTGGTGCCACAGGTAGCCATATGTCCCTTCTGCCAGAGGCAAGGGAAATGACTCCTTTTGATTGATGAGAACTGGTTTCTTGAGTTCTTGAGGGATGCTGGCTTTTATCTAACGGCCAGAAATCCTCCTATAGTCATTTCTGGATATTTGGACTGCCTTTAGGAGTTTGGAGAATTGAAGTTTCCTTTTAATCTGACAAAAGCCTACATAGCAAGACTCTGCCCCAAAAATAAACAAACTGAGACGTAAGAAAACAGAAGAAATGTAATTGCTGTTTAAGGCTGTGTTTGCCCTTCCTAATACTGTCCTTTGGATGCGGTCTTCTCTTTCCTCAACTCTTAGCTCTGACAGTTCGAAATGGAGGAAACGTGTTGGTTCCATGCTACCCTTCTGGAGTGATCTATGACCTCCTGGAGTGCTTGTATCAATACATCGACTCCGCTGGCCTCTCCAACATCCCCTTCTACTTCATCTCCCCAGTGGCCAACAGTTCACTTGAATTTTCCCAGATTTTTGCCGAGTGGTATGTCGTGTCCTTCTTGTCTCTGAGTTCTACTTCAGTATATTCAATTAGTAAGAACGAAAATAGTTGTAATTTCTTAGAATGCTTGAGACTTGTGTGTGTGGCTGTCTGTCTGTCTGTCTGTCTGTCTGATCAAAAGGCTGAACTACTGAAAGTAAAATCCCACATACTTTTAGAGTTTAGAAGCATAGGTACCAAGGAGAGGATGAAAGAGACTTAAATTAGTCTGTTCTCAAAAAAAGAAAAATCATTGCTTACTTTCCTACCTACTACAAAGAGAAGTTCCATTCTAAAAGGTCTTCACCCCCAAGTTCACCTTGTTGTAATTAACTATATCTAATAAGAAAAGCTAGGTTTTTATTTCCATAGTCTGTTTTTTTGTTTTGTTTTGTTTTGTTTTTCAAAACAGGATTCTCCTGTGTAGCTTTGGAGCCTGTCCTGGATCTTGCTCTGTAGACGAGGCTGCTTGCCTCTGCTTCCCGAGTGCTGGTATTAAAGACATGTACCACCACTACAGGCTGAAAACAGAATTTTACATTACTCTGTCTTAACATATCCCAATGTTATGCCCCACGCCCCACCCATGGCTTTGGTATTGGGATTTTTCTTCCCACTGAACCGTGGGCTTCTCCCTGAATTGACACTGCTCATCTTAGTGGGTAGGACTCTGCCTTGTTGTTGGTCCTCAGTGATCTTTATCCTTTATACACAGGTATCTTCCCCACACAGGATGCTCTAAGCATTATTTGTAGATTGAATCAGAAATGTGTTTTCATCCAGATCCCCAGTAAAAATATTGCAACCCAGTTCTGGGTCCAGCCCTGAAGGCGCAGTAGACAGTGCACCCACCTTGCCAGGTATGTGACTGCAAGTATGGCTGTCACCAGAACAAAGGATGAGAGTGCTGTAGGGTCTTTCTGTGATTTTGTTTCATAGGTGTTAGTTAGCTTGTAAGTGGGTAATCCATGTTTACTGTTGAAAAAAAAATTACAGAAAACAATAGAGACCCTGAACCTACACTGCCGCTATCAGAATAAACCCCACCGTTAGCATCAGACCTACAAATCATGTTGTATAGTTAGCAGTTTTGATACAACACCTTGCCAAGTATAGCTATTTAATTTAAATTTTGATTTTATTTCCTAAAAGGGTTGTAGTTCAGTAGTGCAGTGCTTATGTAGCAGAAAACATTTAATTGTATTAAACTATTATGAAATCTTTGAGAAGACCAGCATTTGCTTGTGTTCCCAGCACTCAGGAGGCTGAAGCAGGAGGATCACAGGTTCAAGGCCAGACTCAGCTATAAGCCAGACCTTATCTCAAAACGAATGAGAACACAGGGCTGCAGTATTTTCTCCTTTCTTTGTTTGTTTGTTTGTTTGTTTGTTTGTTTGTTTTTTCAAGACAGGGTTTCTCTGTAGCTTTGACACCTGTCCTGGAGCTCTTATTCTGTAGACCAGGCTGGCTTCGAACTCACAGAGATCCACCTGCCTCTGCTCCTGAGTGCTGGGATTAAAGGCTTGCACTACCAAAGCCTGGCCGTATTGTCTCCTTTTTACATCACTCAGATCTGTATAATTTAGTTTATTATCTTGTTATTGCTTGGCAGGGCTTTTCCTTCTAGGAATAAATCATAAATTGATACTATTTTATATATGTACAATGATACCATTTGCCTTAGGTAAGTTACTAAAAGTGGAATTACTGGAATAAAGGGTAGAAATATTTTTTAAAGTTCATTATCTGACACTAAACTACTTTCCAGAAAGATTTTTATGTAAATTATTTCTTTTTTTGTACATTTAGTTCTTAGAGGTTTTATATCTCTTACATATTTGAACTCTGTATATATATTAAAGATATTAACTTTTTGTTAACATTCTTTAGCCATTTTTCTCATTTTGATACTTTTCGAATTTTATCTTGATTTTTTTTCTGCTTAATAAGCTTTGTAGTTTAGAATAATTTTAAATTTACAGAAAAGCGCAATAATAGAGTTCCCATACCTTTCATCTGATTTCCCCTGATGTTGATGTCACTTGTGACTAAACATATTTATCAAAACATGCAGGGGGCCTGCAGAAATGTTTCCGTGGTTGAGAATACTGGATACTCTTTCAGAGGACCTGGGTTCAAGTCCCAGGACCCACATGGCAGCTCCCAAGTATCTGAAACTCCAGTTCCAAGCGTAGATCCTACGCCCTCTTCAGCCTGTGCAGGTTCTATGCACATGTGGTATACAAATACACATACAAGCAAAACACCCATACACATAAAACAAAAATAAGTAAATCTTCAAAGAGAGAGTACAAGGACTAAGTAAAAATAGGGGTAGGGGTAGTGGCACGAACTTATACTCTTCAGCAGTTAGGAGCCTGGAGGAAGGAAAATCCAGAGTTCAAAGCTAAGCTCAGCTGCATAGTGAGTTTGAAGCCAGCCTCAGCAGCATGAAACACTACCAGTCCAGAGATCTGGGAGCCAGGGCAGGCATTACAGTTTGGGATGTGCTTGCCTAGGGAGAGGAGAAATGTTCAGAAAGCAGCTGGTAAAGGAATGGAAGGCTAGCTCCCCACTGGGTTATGGAGGAAACATAGGAAGAGAGGGGAAAGGAGTGGGATAAAGGGGTGAGATTAGACATACGTTCTTTCCTCAGAGTGACTTAAGAATCATGCTAAGCTCTCCCAGCGGTAGGTCACCGCCTTCCCTCCTACCAAGTGGCAGTCTCATCCTGAGCTACATGTGGGAGTCCTCTAGGCAGCTGGTAACCATCTGAAAGCCACAAGGTACTGGGATTTTTAAAATGTCACCATTCCAGTGTGGCCTGGAGCCCAAAGATCACTGCTCCAGGACCTATTCCAGTCAGGATCAAAGTCCCCACTTGCTTTAGACAGCTTGTTTTGCTTTGGTGGCCCCCTTGGTGCAGCCTGCCTGCAGAGTACTTTCTCCCTAATAGGAATGAAGTTGCTTAAATGGACAAGTGCAATCTCTAGACCTGGAGACTGGAGTAACGCAGCAAGGGATTGTGGTGGAACCAAGTTAGGCCTGGTCACCCCACACCAGGACCACCATCATCCACTCAGACTTGCCGCTTCCCCTCTTCCTTGCTTGGAATGGGGACAACCTCAGACCCAACTGCTTGCTTGTGTCTCTTGGAAGCCACTCTGTGGTTCCTGATCTCCGGGGCTTCTGCTGTAGCCTGCAAAGTCCCTGCTGCCTGTTGGCCCAGTGTCAGCCCCAGTCCCTAATCAGACTAGTGGTCCCTTCCGCATCGCCTTCTAATGTAGGGGGTGTGTACCCTTCTGAACTAAATTCTCAGGTTTCTCTCTCACACGTCTAAAATGAGGACAGAGCTAGTGTCCATTTAGATGTATGAGGTGGTTTTCTAAAACTATTTTCCATGTTTTTTTCTTCCCAAAACGAGTGATATTTTTTAAATTAGTTTAAAGACACTATGAATAGGAAAACTTCAATACATTGTGGGAACAGTATGAAATCTGATGCCTGAACCCCTTGTTTTTACAATATTTTGACAGGGTTCTTAAAGTATGTTCCTAAAACATCCGGTATGATGTGCATGCTTGTGTGTGCACATGCTTGCATTGACCAACCTGGTTACTACCCGTTGATTGGTCAATTGTAGGGGTGTTTTGTTTTGTTTGTCACATTGCAGTTTTCTAGGTTCCTCTGTAATTTTTTGTTTTGAACCAAAGTCTTTACTCTGTAACCCACTCTGGCCTCAAACTAAAATCCTCCTGTCTCAGTTCCCTTACAGCTGGGGTGAGCAGTGCTGCTGTAGTGGAATAGGGCTTGTGCATTAGCAGAAAGCCGTGTCTCAGAAAAGGCAGGTCTCCCCGAGCCCTGCTAAACGTAATGTGGTGTCTCAGGCTGGATCCTGGGACAGAAAAAGGACCCTGAGTGGAAAATGGCTAAATCCAAATCAAGTCTGTCCTTGTGGTGCAGTGGCAGAGTTCTTGTCTGTCGTGCACAGAGCAAAAATCAAAACAGTTATAAGAATGGTAGCTCCAAAACCTGAGTGTCTAATGTATTCATCTGGGCATAGCAGTGTAAGGCTACCCCAGGCCACATAGGAGCTGGGTACAGAAAATGTATCACAATTGTGTAAGTTGTTAACACTGCAGACATGAGAAAGGCACCCTCCAACTTGTTTATAAATCAAAGATTACTCCAAACAAGTAGTCTGTTTCTTTAGGAAAACTGTGCTTGCAAGAGACTGTCCTGAATGAGCTGTAGGCCTGGCTTTTATTCACCTGAGTCAGTGCCAGGAAGCTTTAAAACAGTGGTTCTCAACCTTCCTAATGCTGCGACCACTTAAAACAGTTCTTCAAGTTGTGCTAACCCCAACCATAAAATTATTTTCATTGGTAATTCATAACTGTAATTTTGCTACTGTTATGAATAATAATGTAAACTTCTGTGTTTTTCCAGTGGTTTTAGGCAACCCCTGTGAAAAGGGTCACCTCCCAAAGGTGTCCTGCCTGACCCACAGGTTAGGAATCACTGCTTTAACTGGGAGGTGGTGGCACACACCTTTAATTCCAGCACTCGGGAGGCAGAAGCAGGTGGATCTCTGTGAGTTTGAGCGCAGCCTGGTCTAGAGTGAGTTCCAGGACAGGCTTCAAAGTTACACAGAGAAACCCTGTCTTGGAGGGGAAAAAATTCACTGCTTTAAAAGAACTTGTGTATTTAGTGTCTTGCTGCCACTAGGTGGCAGTAGATGCCAGTGCACCGCCTAATTCCTCCTTGTGTCTTCCTCTTTAAAGGCTTTGTCACAACAAACAGAGTAAAGTGTATCTCCCAGAACCGCCTTTCCCGCATGCAGAGGTAAGAAAATGAAGCCAGTGAGCCAGGACACAGAAGAAATGTGGATGGTGGTGTGACGGGATCTGAGACAGATGGAGCTCTGAGGTCCAGGCCAGCCAGGGCTCACAATGTGATGTTGTTTTAAAACCAGACAGACAAATTTTTAAAAAGATGATAAGTATCCCAGCACACAATTCATTTGCCTCCTCTAATTAACACATCATATTACAACCTGGACAGCTCACAGCCCACTTCTGCTGTAGTACAAGGATCTTTTATTCTAATATCTACTACCCATACTTTTTAGGAGCAAATCTGTTATCAAAATGTTCTTTCTAGTCATGTTGATCACACATACAAACTTGTTTTAATTTTTAAAGTATTTGTATATGTGTTCATGTGTGTGCACCCGCCCCCCACGCACCTTATTATTTTGAGACAGGTTCTCTTATTGAACCTGGAACTTACTAATTCAGCCAGGCTGGCTGGCTCTCAAACCTCAGGAATCCTCCTGACTTCACCTTCCCAGCACTGGGCACACATAGGCAGACCAGCTTTTTATGTTGGTGCCCAGATCCAAACTCAGGTCCTCATGCTTCCACAGCAAGCACTTTACCAACTGAGTATCCCTGGTCTCCATGGAAAGTTCCAGCAGTGAAGATAACATTGCAGTCAGCAAGATGGGCCGTCCCTTCCTCGCAGACCCAGCAGGTGTTCCTGCAGCGCTGTTTGATTTCCACCATTTGCTCACCAGGTGGCATCTCATGCACATTTCTCTGTGTGACTCATGGTATTATTACTGTTGTTGCTACTTAATCATCTGTACCAGATCACAAATACACTAGAGTGAATGTAGAGTACTGTTGGACAGGTTATCCCTCAATTTTTGTTCAATTTATGTTAAAGAATTCTCAACTGATATCACCACTTCAGATACAGCAATGTTTGGCACAGCCATAAGTACACTTGGTGCCTTTGTTTTGTATGCCATGTTACATAAGAATGTGGTCAGAAATGCACAGGAACTCTGGGTGATCACCCTGCTCCACACCAAAGGCCCATCCAGACTCAGGTGAACCTTGTGCACAGCCTCTGCCTCCACACACTGTCTTTTCCAGAATGCCACCTAATTCAAGCAAAGAAGTGCAGAGCCTTCCTATATTTCCATCACCACCTTCTCATAACTTCTTCCATTGTCTTGCTGAACCTGTTTACCCATTTACTGAATGTAGGACGTTTTAGTTGTTTTCAAGTTTTGGCAGTTATGAATAATGCTGCAGATGTCTATGGGCAAGGTTCTGTTAAATACCGAAGGAGCATAAGTACATTCATTTAACAGCAACAACAAAGTCTTCCACAGTGGCTGTGCCATTTCTCATCCCACCAGCAAGGAGGGAGGACCCCTCTGTACCACAGTCTCACCATCCAGATATGGTGGCTAGCCTCTGACCATTGCACTAGATAAGTGCATTTTCCTGATGGTGCCTGGTGTTAGCGCCTCCAGGTGCTCACTTGCGTCCTCTCTGGGGAGTTACCGCTGCAGACCTTTGGCATAAGCCAGGTGGTTCAGTTTTGACAGCAGTCCTCGGGCAGTTGTGGCTTCTATATATATCTTTCCTAGTCTGTGGTTTGTCATCTTTGATTGTATTTTTCAGTCATCTTCAGCTAACAACTCTTGGGTTTTTTATGTGTTTTAGCTCATTCAGACCAATAAGCTGAAGCACTACCCCAGCATCCATGGAGACTTCAGCAATGACTTCAGACAGCCATGTGTGGTGTTCACTGGGCATCCTTCCCTCCGGTTTGGAGACGTTGTCCACTTCATGGAGCTCTGGGGGAAGTCTAGTCTCAACACTGTCATATTTACAGGTACATTTTAAGAGTAAATGATTCCTGTCCTTTCCATTGGGCTGACAGTATATGAACCTACAGGATAGAGAAGAAAGCATACATGTAATCTCAGCATCAGAGAGGCTGAGGCAGGAGGACCCAATTCCAGGGCAGCCTGTATCCAAAAATAAAACGAACAGGAATAAAATGAATTGAAGGAATAAGAGTAAAGCAATGTTGGGTAACTGTGTGTCAAGCACAACTTCTGTTTCTGTTCTTTTTTATTAATTTTTTTTTCAATGCTGAAATCTGCTGAGCTGCTGTCTGATAGGATTTTGTAAGGTGTTGAGAGCCTTGATGATTCCAGTAGTTGGTCTGGTTTCGCCAGTCAGCGATTGCTTCCTTAGCTGGATCTTGGGCCTTTGACTCTGGTCCACTCTGACTTACAGCCACTCTTCTGGAAGCAGACCCCTCAGGAAGGAGCAAAACCTTTAGTGAGATGAAGCCATGCAGAGGTGACAGGAATCTCCCTATTTTATCAGCATAAGGCCCTCACACTGCCTTGAAGTTTAGACGTCTCACAAGCTGCGAAGTCAGAATCTTGAAAGATTGTTGTGCCCTCAGCCATGCCCATGTGTATTAGTCAGGGTTCTCTAGAGTACCAGAACTTACAGAATGAATGAATACATACTCATTCATTCATATATGATATATATGATGGGATTTATTGGAGTGACTTACAGGCTGCAATCCAGCGAATCCATCAATGGCGGGCTGCAAACGAAAGTCCGAGAATCTAGCAGTTGCTGGTCTTCAGTATATGCTGGAGTCCCAAAGAAGTGGGCTCTAATGCCAGGGAAGGAATGGATGTGCTAGCAAAGTGAGGGCAAGCAGGCAGAGAGCAAAAGCTTCCTCTTCCGTGTCCTTATTTAGACTTCTACCAGAAGGTGTGGCCCAGATTAAACGTGTGTCTTTCCAGCTGAAAGGTCCAGACTAGAAGTAGATTCACCCACTTCAAGCCAAGCAAAAATAATCTCTCACAGGTGTGCCCTCCATTTCTGGATTGTAGTTCATTTCTGATGTAGTCAAGCTGACAACCATTCTTGGCCATCACAGCGTCCCTAGCCTCACGTTCCTTGCTGTACGTGGGATCACTGGTAACCTCTGTCTGGATAGACCCAGGCCTTAGGGAGAAGTGTATCAGCACCTCAGAGTAGCACTGGCACAGTGTCTGTCAACACAATGCCCTTCATCCTCTTCCTTCTTATAACTTCATAATTCCTTTGAAGAATTGCTTTGTGGCTAGCAAGATGCTATCTGGGTAAAGGAACTGCTGTGCATGACATTTTGAGGTAGCTCTTTGGTGGAAGGAGACACGCCCACAAGTTGTCCTCTGACCTCCACACATGCACACACCAGAAAATGAAAATAGCCTAACAAAAATTATTTTTAAGGCTTAGGTTTGGGATTCGACAGTGTAGTTACACCACAGCATCTGGGCCAGGGCACATGAGCCCTGCCCTACCCTGTGCTCAGCCTCAGTTTGTAAGAACTGTTGGCAGCCCCACACTGGGACCACCAGGAACTTGGCTGCTGTAGAGTAGTTGGATTCCATACAACCATTGCAGAAAGGTGCACACCAGGGAGGAAGCATGGCAAAAAGCTTCTTGTAAGATCTCAGCAGGGGCAGAGTGACAGACTGGTTCACAGATGCTGGGCTCATTCTGCATTGAATGCCATCACAAGAAGTCTACAATTAGTCATCTCTGTGTCCTCTGTAGAAGGCGAGAATATAGCTAGGGTAATGGTTGCTCATGTTGGGCTTGGTACAGTGTTAAGTTCTGTGTTTGTGCTAGATGTTTGAAGATTTTCCTGGATTCTGTGTGGTCCCTGAATAGCCTTGTCTCACATGTGCTCTGTGAAGTATACATCCAAAGGAAGACACAGTAGCTCAGCTGTACCAGGAGCACTCATGACCCCCAAGGACTGCTTTGCTGTCCTCAGACCACCTTTGGAACAAAGACGGAGGCTGCCGGGCCATAGTACATTGATCCACAAATCCTAAAACTTTCCCGTCACCAGGATTTTGCTGAGGTTGTCAAGAAAACACTGTGTAGTGAGGCAGTGGCTTGTCTCTTCTGCTCTCTGACGAACTGTGGCTGATGTGACAGTAGTTACAGGGTTCCATGGGCACAGCGAGAGAGGCCAGCTAAGAAGTCAAATGCTGTGAGATGCCCAATTGCACTGGGCAGTGGGCTGACATCTGTGCTGGCTTGTTGGTTTTCAGGACCGGTGTGTCATTTCTGATTCCCACTCAGGTTGGGGGATATTTCGTTGACCTTTCCCACTTGTATTATGATTACTGTATAGTATTTCTTCCTGGGTAGTCATGGCACCAGAGGTTTTAGAATGAAAGCCTGGACTCTGGCAACCCTAAGAAGCTAGGCTCAGCCACCCATCCCTAAAATGCCAACTAAAGAGTCAAAATACAGTGAAAAGCAGAGAACAATTTATTCAATATGGCCATATTACGAAGAACATGTAAAAGGATCCAGTTAGCACCCCTAGATCTGTCTTTGGGGTAGCAACATAAGATTTAAGTTTAGAGATGTAGCAGTATGCCTAGTTAGCAGTCCTGGTCAAGACGTGGTTCTGCCCATTGCTGACCCATCATAGTTGTCTGTAAAGTGGTCCTATATATGATTGGACTATGAACTCTTCCTGGGAGCTGGGGTCCTCCTCTGGCTGACACTAGCATTTAAGCCCTTTCCTGCCCCCAGCATGGGATTCAAGGGGAAGTTTTAATTCTTTGAGGTCCATTGCTTCAGTAATTGGATAAGCTGAGAGGAGGGCCTCGGTGTCTTAGACAACCTGTACTTGTCCCCTGGGGTATTGTGGGGTGAGCACAATATACTGTTCTCTTGGCTCTGGTGGGCAGCTTATTTGGCATGCACAGTCCCTGCCAAGCAAGCACTGGTGGCCCTTGAGAGAGAAACTGGGGCCTGGGGCCTGGTGGAAGAGTGGCTTAGCCCTGACCATATCAGCTCCAACTGGCTTGGCAATGTCTCTGTCACCTGTGCTAAAAGTCCCCTGTTTACACTTTCCTAGAACCTGATTTCTCCTACCTGGAGGCCCTGGCTCCTTACCAGCCACTGGCCATGAAATGCACCTACTGCCCGATTGACACTCGACTGAACTTCATCCAGGTGTCAAAGCTGCTTAAGGAAGTGCAGGTATGTTCCCTCTGGACCAGGCCTGCACAGCCACAACGTGAAGATGCTGCCCTGCAAACCTCAGGAAATGATCTTTATTCCCTGAAAGAGTTTCCCCTCCAAAGAAATGGGAAGGTGGGGAAAGAAACAGGTCTTTTTCATGAGGACCAGGTGTGGTCGCTGAAAAGCACATGGATGCCCCTCTCCAAGTCAGTCACTCAGCTAAATCCCGAGTTGGTTACATGGTAGGTTGATGGTTAGTCCATTTTGCTGAAAAGGAAAGTAGTGAAGGGAAGATTTCTGCTTGTGGTAGATGAGCCAAGGCATTGGGGTGGCAAGTGGGAGTGTAGAGCTGGCAAGGAAGAGAGTTCAGACCCTGTGAGAGGAAGGGTTCGGATGCCTTGGCCAGATCTCCAGAGCTTGAGTGCCTGCTGAGGGACCTGCTCCTTCACCTGATCATCCTCGAGGATGGTTGCTTCCTCCATCTCCTAGCTTAGCTCCTGCATCATCTCACAGACTCTCCAGCATGATGAGGTGGACATATACAAAAGGCTAGAGCAGGGTGACAAGAGACAAGAACCCCCAGGGAGGTGAGGAAGATTGATGCCAGTGCCCTAGCTTGTCACCTTGGATGGACAGAGTACCCTGTGTGCTCATTAGCATGCAGAGGAAATGCTAGGGACCACATGCTTCTTATCACTGAGCAACTTAAGTCCAGATCCCTAAGTCAGTTTCACACCACTGTGTCACATGCTAATATTAGAAATCAGAGGATAGCTGGGTAGTGGTGGAGCATGCCTTTAATCCCAGCACTTCCAGAGGCAGAGACAGGTGGGTCTCTGTGTTGGAGGCCAGCCTGGTCTACAGAGCAAGTTCTAGGACAGGCTCCAAAGCTACAGAGAAATCTGTCTCAAAAAAACACAAAAAGGAAAGAAATCAGGCTATCTGGTCCCCACCTTCAGTGATTAACACTCTGGAGGAGGCTAAGGCAGGGGACAAATGCTAACCAGGTTAGGAACAACACAAGGCCCTGAAGAACAAGGGCATTAGATCCAGCCAGGCCTAGCCGATGGAAACTTGTTCTTGAAAGGATTTGTGGCTTAATCCAAACTCTTAAATCAGAGCAGGGACAATTCACTGACCTGCATTAGCATCTAGCTGAGTGATGTTTGTACAAATAGTTTTGTCTCCAATTCACTGTCATACTCAGATAGGCATGTGACCTGCCAGTTTCCACTGACCTGGGGAATAGCCCAAGATATGCCAAACCCAGAATACTGGACTAGCACAAAGCCGAAGTTCTTGCTAGTCAGGGGATTATAATATCTGATGGGACAAGTGTCACAGGAAGGCTGCCCTCAAGGAACTGAGCTTAGCTTAGGGAGTAGACACACTGGAGGCACCAGAAAAGTTACTCAGAGTGAAAAAGTAAAGAGCAGAGATAGCAGACCCTTCCTCAACCATCTCCCATCAGGGTTAGCTGAGCTGGAGAGAATGCACTCTAGTGGCCTGATGTAGTGGGCTTGAGTATTGAGGATGATACAACAAGGGTCAGGAAGAGTCTTGGGGGTGGTGCACTGCATTGCTCCTACCCTTTCCTGTGACTTCCTTGTCCCATTGCTCCTCAGCCCCTGCACGTGGTCTGTCCTGAGCAGTACACCCAGCCACCCCCGGCCCAGTCCCACAGGATGGACCTTATGATCGACTGCCAGCCACCAGCCATGTCCTACCGGCGGGCTGAGGTCCTCGCCCTGCCCTTCAAACGACGCTATGAGAAAATTGAAATCATGCCAGAGGTGAGCTGCTGTCCTTTAAGCCGAGTTTCCGCCAGAGTGCCCTCTGGGACACAGCCAGTCTGTCAAGAATGAATGAGGGAAAGAACACGGCCCTCAGCACGTGCTGCTCCTTCTGCTAGCCTTCAGTGGTATGACCCTGCAGGCAGCATCCTGGGTCTCCACTACGGAGGATGCTCTCTGAGGGTTTCCCCTCCTTCCTGGAACTCATGTTTGAGAGAGGAGAAGTGTAAACTTACTCATTTGTATCCACTGTGGCATCGTGTAGATAAATCTGAACACGAATGGTTTACATTCTAGTCAGTGCTGTCTTGGGTTTTATCACAAGGACTTGGAAAGGTACAGTCAAGTGGCGCTGTGTTTGTGACTCGGCTAGGGGCTACAGCAAGGAAGAGGAGGGGACTGCAGAGCACTGTGTCTGTCAGAGACCTTTGAATACCTTTGATTTGCATAAATGGCGTTCCCTGGGGAAAGTTCCAGAAAACTGATGGCTGGCTAGGCAGTGAGGTGGCTCTCCGACTTTCTCAGAATTGCCAATGCTCTGCTCCCCTCCCCCCGCAGCTCCACCACTGTCCTGTCAGCTTCTAAGAGCGCTTTCTCCAGGGTCAAGGTTGTCGTGTCACACAATAATGCAGTGTTGAAACAGTCAGAAGTGTTGTGTACCCACAGGCATGGAACATGCATGTGGAAGATGAAAGAGTTAAAATTCACTGCAGTTAGAGGACCCCAAATAGCAGCATCTCTGCAGCCTCTTCGATCTAGTCTTCCAGGAAGAAGCTGTCAGTCCTTGGCCCCCTTATCATAGAAGACCCCACATATGGGGGGTGTAGCTGTTGTGCTCTTGAAGTGCTGACCCAAGGTGAGGTGGTTTGGGGTTCTAGGCTGACTCTTATGGAGGCAGAGGTGTGACTGGTCACTTGTCCTCTCTGAGAAGCCCCACCTTGAGGCCTTGGAGGTAGTTTACAACTGCCCAGGGAATCTCTCACCAACTTGGTCCCTATGATGCCAGCCTGACCTGTGCAGAGAACAGTCATTTATGGGACAGAGGTGAAGGACGGGACCCGACAGTCAGGTGTTGGGTAACCACACCACAGTATGGCACAGCTCACACTCCACTCATGCTTCTCTACTGCGTGGGAAAGCCCTCACATCTTGTTTGCTGATGTTTAAATGGTGTTAGCTACTTCCTCTTCCCAACTGATATTGAATGCCAGTGCTTGCGTAATGGCATCTCGCACATTTGTTTTTAAATGAAGGCAGCCTGGCTTCGCAGTGATCTGTGCTCACTGTAGTATGTGTACTGTAGCTACACAGGAAAAGGCACCCATCCAGCTCAGGTCATTGGAGAACACAGTCCCCCGATAGGGGCCATTTGTCCTGCCATTGGCAGACCAAATTGCCAGGGAGCAGAAAAGCACTCAGTCCCTTTGCTACAATCCCTGTCCTATGTGACAGTGGTCACCTAGAGAAGGAATGGGAGTGAGCCCCAGGCAGAGTAAAAGGTGTGTGTGTGTATGTGTGTGTGTGTGTGTGTGTGTGTGTGTGTGTGTGTGTGTGTGTGTGTGTGTGTGTAGGAATCTAAGAGGTTCTGGTAGGCTCTGAGATGACTTCAGGGAACTGTCTGAAGCCCTATGAGTGATGTCATAGGGGAGGGGGACATTTAGGTGTATGTATCCAGCAGATGTTGCCATTAGGGGGATCCATGTTGTGGGGTCCAGCACACAGGGACATGAAACTGCCCTGATATTCCCTGCCGCATTGCCCCGGAGCCATGCAAAGTGCTTTGAAACTGCCATGGCACTGATTTCTCACTCCCTCTTCTGCCATTGGTCCACTCCCTCCACCCCTTTCCACAGTTCCCTCTTTTCATCTCTGTAATTGGCAGGAGACTTGAGAGTGTGCACCTGATTTCATACCGTGAGTTATCTGGTCATTTTCATTACAACAGTGTAAGTAACATCTAAGATAAATACAATGGTCACCCTTGGAGGCCTTTCCCACCAGGACAGAAGAATGCTAAGAGCTCAGTGCTGTGCTCCAGTAGGCCCTAGGCCACTGTCCACCCTGGAATTCTTCCCTCCCTCTCAGAGGGAGCCCATCTGAAACCCTGTATTTGCTTTCAGCTGGCAGACTCCCTGGTGCCCATGGAGATCAAGCCCGGCATCTCCTTGGCAACTGTCTCGGCTGTGCTGCACACGAAGGATAACAAACACGTGCTTCAGGTACTGAGGGCCTACGGGAACCCGGGAGACCTCCCTCAGGAGAGCTCTGCCACCAGTTATACACGTGTGTTCTTGAAACCAAGGCACTTCAAATTCTTAGCCAGCTCCTCCCCTGGCCATATGAGCCATCCTAAGGAGTGTCCCTTGCCCCAACTTGCCATGGACACATTCCTTGTTGAGCCCCAGACCTGAGCACTGCAGAGTGAGACTTGAAAGCTACATCAACATACATCCCTTATGAGGCCTGGAAGGCCGGAGCCTGACATGGGTGGGCAGTGCCTTCTGAAGACTTCTTCCCACACTTGCACGGTGTGCCCCTGTAGTAGAGTACCGGGCACTGTGCTTGTTGCTCCCATGCATTCTCCTGGCTAATCCTCCAGGATTCTCTGACCTCAGTGTCCCCATGTTTTCCACAGCTATCTGGTGGCACAGCCAGCTTTTACCTGCTAGACACCTCAGTCTGTTCTTAGTCACCATGCGTGGCCGTGGCCACCAGTGTTTATTAGGATAGGAGGGACTTCAGCAGCAGGCAGTGGAATCCCGGGGAATGTAAACATGGTTCTCATTAACGCACATGGAACCCAGGTGATGATAGGCCTGGCCTTTCATGCTGCGGGTAACTTCAGACCAGCAGGGTCATGGCCTACAATCAGTGGAGAGGCTCTCACTGAAAGCGCACTTTCATTCTGTCCTAGCCCCCTCCCAGGCCCGCCCAGCCCCCCAGCAGTAAGAAGAGGAAGCGGGTGAGTGAGGACGTTCCTGACTGCAAAGTGCTGAAGCCTCTGCTAAGCGGCTCCATCCCAGTAGAGCAGTTTGTGCAGACCCTGGAAAAGGTGAGCTCGGTGGCCTGATCTGCTCCTAGGAGAGGCTCAAAATGGGTTCAGCCAAAGAATGCCTTCCAGACTTCACCAGCCTTGCCTGCAGTCTAGGACGAGGGAGCAGAACTTCAGAAACAGGTGTGGTACATTAAAGATTACCATCCAGGAGGGCTAGCAACGTGGCTCAGTAGGTCAGTGATTCAGTCAGAACTGTGATGGGGACAGTCCAGTCCTGTCTCAGTGGCCATCTATCCCTGGGCCCACATGGGTGTTGTGCCTTCATGTTTATCTGTGCCCCATGTGCAAGCCTGGTGCCTGAGGATCCCCTGAAACTAGTTACAGACAGTTATGAGCTACCATTGGATGCTAGGAATTGAACCAGGGTCCAGGTTCTCTGGAAGAATAGCCAGTGCCCTTAACCATGAAGCCATCTCTCCAGCCCCGAAAGAGGAGGTTTCTTAACTGCATTAGTGCTGGGGCGGGGTAAGGTGGGGGCACAGTACTTTAAAGATCTGTATAATTGTCTTCGGTTACTGTTTCACATTATCACCCTTGTTGAAAGGAGGATGGGCTGAAGATGGCATGGAACATGCTTCTAGAGAACTGGGCTAGCTCCAGGACGTGATGGCAGGGAGGGACATTCTGCTACCAAGCTATTAATAACCACACTGTCTCAGCTGCCGACTTCTTTCAAGTCTCAAAAGCAGTTTCCTGTCTCAGTAGGTTTGGTCTTCGTCTTTTGATTTTCCCAAATCTCCAGATCTTCCCACAGTCCTGCACATGAGCCAAGGACCCCTGGTTCCTGCCTGTGAGATTTTAAACTATTCCTCACAATGACCTTACCTTTTTCTCCTGCCTGGCTCGTCCGGGAGCAAGCCCCTTTGGTTGCATGGGCTCTGCATACCTCACCTCCTTCCCAAAGCCACGTGGGTGTTGTCTACCAAAAAGACAGGCAGTCCCTGCATTGGGCTCTTTCCCTGTTTTATGTCCCATCCAGGCAACTTTTTCTCCTTTAGCTGTAATTGTGGTTTCTAAGGAGATGCTGCAGTAAAGGTGGCTGGAGAGATACTGCCAGACCCCCAGGGTAGTGGTACCTTGCTGTGAGAAGTAGAGCTTTCCTAGGGCTCAGCAATGGAGACCAGTGTGGGCAGATGCCAAGGTCAACCATGTGTTTCCCTTGAATCTCAGAGTCTGGATGTGCTCAAGTCCCTCGCACACTCCCCTAAGCAGGGTGGGGCCATTCAGCTGTTTTCCTGGCATATTGGGGTAATCGGAGCCATCTATGAGTATGAAACTGTGGCTGGATTCTGCCCCTGGAGTTGAAAGAGCTGTGTTGAGAGTAATACCAGTCTCCGGTGCTCAGTCAGACCTTGCTTTCAGAGTAACCACTCCTCTTTTCTTTTGAACAGCATGGCTTCAGTGACATTAAGGTGGAAGACACAGCCAAAGGTCATATTGTCCTGCTGCAGGAAGCCGAGACACTCATCCAGATTGAGGAGGACTCAACTCACATCATCTGTGACAATGACGAGACTCTGAGGGTACGATTGCGGGACCTCGTCCTCAGGTTCCTGCAGAAGTTCTGAGTGGGGCGTCCGTGAGCTCCTAGACCTCGGACAGTCTGGCGGTGGCCTCTGGCTTCCAGGGAGAAGTGTCTCTGGCCAGGACCTGCCAGTCTGACTTCCTTGTACTGCTGAAGCCAAGAACTTTTAAGTCCTGTTCTTTTCTATTCTGAGCTCTTAAGCAGCTTGGGGGTGACAGCATGACAGGAGTCCTTTCCTAAGGGAAGTGTTAATCACTGGCCTGTGTTTTCAGGACTCAAAGGGGGCAGCTCTTGGACTTACCTGCCTACAGTACTACACCTATTAAAGGACAGTCCCCCAGGTCAGAAAGGGAGCCTATCTAGCTCTATTCTGTGGCCCATTTTGCTAAAATAAATGCTATTTTTATAGAAGTACCCTGTTCTATTGAACTACAGTCTAAGTGATTTAATATGGGGGGATCTGAAACTACACCCAACAGTAAAAATGCCACCGCACATCTGTCTCACCTCTGCCTTAATCATAACCCAGCCCCATTTACAAAAATGCAGATAGAATTCCAGTGCTGGAGAGTGCAGTCATCCTCTGATACACAGCAAGTTCAAGGCCAGCCTGGTTCGTTAGAACCTATCTCAAGAAGCAGAAACAGGCCAGGCGTGTGCCACATGCCCTTTAGTCCCAGCACTCAGATCCACCTGCCTCCTGAGTTCAAGGGCAGCCTGGTCTACAGAGCGAAACCATGTCTCAAAAAAAAAAGAGGCAGCAGCAACAATGAATTTGGATATATTTCAATTCTGTGAAAAACTACTTCTTACACAAATGGGTGACGACCTTGTAGAGAGACCCCTAAGCAGTACAATTCAAGAACTCGGTGACCACTTCGTGTCACCTAGTGACACTGAAGCCTCCTATAATGACACTGGCAAAACCACCAATGTGCATCTCTTGGAGTGTGTCTCCAGTTTGGCATGTGGCTTGTAGCAGCTGCTGTGGCCACTAGCTGACAGGCGGCAGCTCTTCAGCCCTGCCCACACTGCAGGAGGAAGGGTGGCTTTAGAAGAAACTGTCGCAGCAATGGCTGCTTGTGATTAACACTGGCCCTGCCCATATCTAAGAAAACCATTTTTGCAAATCAATGGAAATGCCTTGGACCTGGGAGCACAGTGGGAGGCAGAGCTGAGAGTTATCACACAGGTCTGGTGGTGCAGGCCAGCGTGCTCAGTTACTCTACAGACAGGAAGATCACAAGTCCAAGGCCAGCCAAAGCAATTTAATGAGTTCTTGTCTCAAAGTTAAAGAGGGCTAGGGGCACAGCTCAGTGGTGAGTCCTAGCATGTCTGAGACCCTGCATTGGGTCCCAACAATGAAAAACTAAAATTGGTCTACTAACCCTGACTGTCACAAGGGGTTTTAAAGTGATGTAGAAGCTGTAGGGAATACTGCACAGGCTGTGAAGAGCTGTGATCAGCTCTCCTAAATTGTGTCTGGGGCGAGCTCTTGATTGGCGGAGGAAAAAGATTTCACTTTCCCATCTTCACCGTGGGCACAGGGTGTGGGTCATTTTGCCGAGGGTCCTGCGGTGTACATGCAAACTGGGAGCTGTCAGGAGAATTGTGTAGGTACATCACCTTCTTTATGGAAACTTCTGAGAGATCAAACTAAACTTTAAACATACTGGAAAAATGCGAATGCATTCTAAGATAAAGTTCAAAAGACCCAAACATACATTTAAATAAACTGTCTACCAGGTATGCGTCCAGAAATACTTCAGGGAAAGTCAGCCCAAGGCATTGGTCCTCCAAGGACTGATTGCCAAGAGACAGTCAACTAATGCCCGGCAGGAAGGATGACTTAGGAGTTACAGAGGGCAATTGAGTCCTCAGCCCCACTTGGCCACAGAAGGTAGATGAAGACCAAGCAGAGCGCATTCTTCCAGCAGAGAGGGCAAGTTGACTAAGTGCTAGACACTTGGAAGCCACAGTAGATGGCTTAGTACAACCTGCAGAACTAATCAAAGCCACTTGTGACTGGCCCTGGCCCAGGAACACTGTCTGCAGTGGTGCCCACTGACACTCGAGAACTCCACCCAGGCCTAGTGAATATCGATGACTAAATGGAGCCTGAGGAACCCGCAGGCACAGCCCAGGTCCCAGAGCCACTGTTCATCTGTGATGGGACCTCTCCAGCGTGAAGCAGTGACTGCTCATCTTCTCGTCTTCCCTCTGTCCACTCGCACCGTACCTATCCCTCACAGGAGCACGAGTGCCAGGCGGCGCTTCAGGTGCTGCCACAACCCGAGTGACAAACTGCTCCTGGCTAGAATAAATGATCCCACTTAGTTTGCATAGTCTTGTGCAGCTCACTGTCTGCCTGTCTTGAGACATAAGTAACCCAGGCTGACCTCACCACCACGTCTGTCTGTCTTTTCACAAGTCTTTCCCCAAAGGATTAAAGCCTGGATCTACTGCTGTGACAAGTGACCCCAGACCTCACAGCTACAAAACAGCAGATGTTTCTTCCCTTACAGTTCTGTGGCTCGGGGTCCACTGTGGCTTAGCCAGAGCTCCTGCCCCCACCCAGCTAGAGTTCCCAGGAGCAGATCCTCTTATCTCAGCTGAAATACAGAGTCTGAGTGAGTGCCCCCCAAATGGCCAGTTTGTGGCTCCTCTACATCCTGCCAAGGGGCGGGACTCCTGGTCCATTCCTCTTAGGCGAGGGCACACTACTCTTCATCTCACTCCAGCTTCCAGCCCACAGACTCCACGATATACTGCAAAGACAGGAGTTGGCTTTTCCATGTGACACTGAAGGACCAACAGGAACCCTCACTATGTGATGGCACACTGAAGAGCTAAGAAAACTAGTAATGACATGGGCTGCCTCTCCCTCCCCACAGACACCAGAACAAGCTGCTCCCTATAGGAGGTAAGTGGTACCTGTTTTCAGGCTCTCCACATTGGGATGATGCACCGATGCGTTATTTTGAACCTTGGCTAGGGTAAAAGTAACCAGCCCTGTTCTGGAAAAGGACACAGCTGAACCTGGAGATAGGCGATATAGAACCGGGCCAAGCCGGGCGGTGGTGGTGCATGCCTTCAATCTCAGCACTTGGGAGGCAGATGCAGGAGGACCTCTGAGTTTGAGACCAGCCCGGCCTACAAGAGCAAGCCCCAGGACAGGCTCCAAAGCTACAGAGGGAAACCCTGTCTCAAAAGGAAAAAAAAAAATCTAGAACTGGGCCAAAGATGGCTAATGCTGTGGGCTCCAAGCCAGATCATGAGCTCAAATCCCTGAAGGCTTTACGCTATGGTCTTCACAATTCTGTGTACCCAGAGGTTTCAGTCTGCTGTCAAATGGTTTTAGAAGTACTTCAGCATTTGCATCTTAGGACCAGGGTCTGAGCAGGGTCTTTACCCAGGCCTTGTCATTAGGTGTCAGGGTGCTGTGTGTTGCATGGGTGGGTTTAAGAAAGAGGTCACTCCAGGATGAAATTCTGAGACCTGTGTGGCAGCAGGAAGGTCCAGCCTCTGAGGAACTGAGCCCCGTTTACCGATTGCTAAACTAAGTTGTTTGTCATACAAAGGTCCTTAATCTAATCTATATGTCCTGAAGAAAAACGTCACATGCCCTCATGACTTTAGTCCTCTGTGTGCCTTTGCAATACACAGTACTCCAAGAGCCTCGGGTGTGCCAGCGGCGGCTTGTGACCAAAGTCATATGAAGGCTGCAATGCCCCTTCAGAAAAGCAATTCTACAAATCATGGAAAACAATCACTGTTTTCCACAAAGATCCTTCAAGGTCAAAGTACTTCTAGAAAACAACTGTTCGGTCTAATGTTTACCCTGGATACGGTGAAAACTATTCATTCTAATATTTACCCTGGATACAGTGAAAACTAATCATTCTATTGTCTACCCCAGATACGACTGCTAAATTCCTACAACAGTCAGTCACCAGTCACGCTGATTGTCTCACAGGAATTAGAGGCCATGGAGTGAGTTACTGTGTTCACAGGATTTCACTCCTTGACACTCTAGTAACCTCAGTATTAATTCCTAACTGTGCTGTCTCCCTGATACACAACTGTGAGTCCACCACAATGAACAGCAACCTAATCTTCCTAATGTACATACTACTTCCTAAAATGCTGCTAGCCAGAGGGAGCTCACACCTGCAACCCCAACACTCAGGAGGCCGGGGCAAAAGGACTGCTCAAGTTCAAGGCCAGTCTGGGGTACCTAGTGTTTTCCAGACTCACCTGCACTACAAGGTGTGACCATCTCTCAAAATAATTTAATAAAGATAAGTAAATTATAAAAAAATAAAATATATTTCCTGGTTAATTGCAGTGCTTTTATACTTTGAAAATAATGACCTTCCCAACCCGTACAACCCTCCAGCCACCAGTGAGCCCTGGTCAAGCTCCTGCTGCTGGATTTTGTGCACTTAACTTCCTCTGCTGACCTCAGCTCAGCAGAGACAAAGTGTTGCCTGAGCTCTAGGGCAAAGAGGGGCACATTCCCAAGACCTCCAGTGAGAGTCTGAAGGCCTGAGGGATGTAAAGATCGGGACAAAAGACTTGCCCCACCTAAGGACTCCGTTAAGGAAGCCCGTGGTGGAAGGAGGAAACCAGGTCATGAAAGCTGACCTCTGACCTCCACGTGTGCGTGTGGCATGTGCCCTCCCACTTTAAGCACAAGTAACTTTAAATAACCGCAGACCCAGGCTACTTTGCTTTGGTTTTGGTTTATGAGACAGGGTTTCTCTGTGTAGTCCTGGCTGTCCTGGAACTCACTCTGTAGACCAGACTGGCTTTGAACTGAGAGATCCGTCTGCCTCTGCCTGCTGGGCTTCCTGCTGGTCAGTTTCGTAAATGTCATCACTGTTAAACTTGGTGCCATTCATCTTTGCTCTATAACAACTTCCTGATTCTTTGCAGACTTTACTGATAAGATGGAAGAGACTAATCGGTTGCCTGCAAATTAAAACTAGCCATGAACAAAAAAAAAGTTTACAATTTAGAGAGATCACATGTCTCAAGCTTTGTGATACATTCCAAAAAAGAGAAGAAAAAAGAAATCAGTTCCTGTTCATGTGCTGTGTTTTTGGATATCTGATTCCTGATGCTGAGAAAGGGTACACGATGCACCACGTCATGTTTAAACTCCAGATAAACGTATGTAAGGACTAGAGTAGGGGCGTAGGACAGAACATCAGATAGGTAGATAGAATAATAACCACACTGAAAAACCAGAGGATTTGGGGATAAGGGAAGGGCAACCCACCCGGAGGAGACACTCAACTGAGAGGGAAGAAATGACAAGTTGCCATTGTGGTGTGCAGGGAAGCAAGCCCAAATATAGCTAAAAGGGAGAGATGTTAGGCCCGATTTAAACATTAAAAGCTGGCCGG